AAAAAAAAAACTGAGTTCGACCTCATCTTAAACTCACCTAAAATTGTAACAAAGTTTGTCTTGGCTTTGGTGGTTGGGGAGTTGGCGAGGGGTAAATAGCTTTTGGGTCAAAGGTACAAGCATTAATTTGTCTTGTTGTGACATGAAAAACTCGAGTCCTTTAGTCATAGAAATCTATGTGTGCAGAAGAATCTTTACCTATAGGGAGTGAAAAGTTGGATTATTAATTATTCCAATTAATGGTTTTGTAACTGACTACGAGTGGTCAATGTCCAGATGAAAATGATTTTATTAAGAATCGAGTTGCATTGGACAAGCGTTCCTTTTTTTATTTTTTGTAAAATGAGAATTTTACTTTTTATTTTCGTATTAGAGTTATAACATGAGATGGAGGAATTTATTTATATAGAATAAACTTCGCAAGGGAATAGAAAGTTTGATCATTAATGAGAAGTGAACATGTGGTAACAAGGAATGCCATAACGATCCAAATTATTTATGTAGATTCTAGGATCGTGTCTAATATTTCAAAGTTACCATTTTACCCATTTTAAAATAAGTGAAAATAGTGAAAAGAAATTGGATAATCATGGTGAAATGTTATATGAAATTCGGTGGTCATTGTGACACGTTACATGAAATTGGGTGGCCGTGGTAAAATAAAATCAAATGGATGACTATGGTGACACTAAATACAAAGTTGGGTGACCATGGTGAAACAAAATCAAATTGTGTAGCCATTGCCACACTAAATATAAAGTTGGATGACAATTGGTGAATTTAACCCTTAACTTAAGTGCTGAGATGAGTCCATCTTCATCTTTGAAGATTGAATAATAGAGAAGATGACACCCTTCATGTTTGTCCATTATTCTTAATGTTAGAAGATTTATCGACAATTGTTATTTAATAAATTAAGTACCACTTCAATGAATTGCTCTCCTTTGTTCAAACTGTACATATTAAAAAAAAAAAAAAAAAACTGAGTTCGACCTCATCTTAAACTCACCTAAAATTGTAACAAATTTTGTCTTGGCTTTGGTGGTTGGGGAGTTGTCGAGGGGTAAATAGCTTTTGGGTCAAAGGTACAAGCATTAATTTGTCTTGTTGTGACATGAAAAACTCGAGTCCTTTAGTCACAGAAATATGTGTGCGTAGAAGAATCTTTACCTATAGGGAGTGAAAAGTTGGATTATTAATTATTCCAATTAATGGTTTTGTAACTGACTACGAGTGGTCAATATCCAGATGAAAATGATTTTATTAAGAATCGAGTTGCATTGGACAAGCGTTCCTTTTTTTTTTTTTTAAATGAGAATTTTACTTTTTATTTTCGTATTAGAGTTATAACATGAGATGGAGGAATTTATTTATATAGACTAAACTTCGTAAGGGAGTATATAAATATCGAATAGAGTAATTATATTAACGTACCAACTTAATAAATGAATGGAGTAAAGGAAATCGAATCGTTCTATCCTTAACTTAAAGGGCTAAATCCATCAATGACCACCTAACTTTACACTTGTGTCACCATGACCATCCAACTTTATATTTAGCGTCACCATGACCACCTAATTTGAATTTATTTCACCATGTCCACCCAATTTCAGATAACGTTTCATCATAGCCACCCAATTTCAGATAACGTTTCACCATGGCTGTCCAACTTCTTCTCATAATTTTCATTAATTTTAAAAGGGGCATTGGAAACTAAATTATTTAAAATTAAACCAAATGTGTAAACTACTATTGAAAATATGTGTGAAAGAGATGGGTACCTTTGTTCAAACTGTACATATTTAAAAAAAAAACTGAGTTCGACCTCATCTTAAACTCACCTAAAATTGTAACAAAGTTTGTCTTGGCTTTGGTGGTTGGGGAGTTGGCGAGGGGTAAATAACTTTTGGGTCAAAGGTACAAGCATTAATTTGTCTTGTTGTGACATGAAAAACTCGAGTCCTTTAGTCATAGAAATCTATGTGCGCAGAAGAATCTTTACCTATAGGGAGTGAAAAGTTGGATTATTAATTATTCCAATTAATGGTTTTGTAACTGACTACGAGATGTCAATGTCCAGATGAAAATGATTTTATTAAGAATCGAGTTGCATTGGACAATCGCTTCTTTTTTTTTTTTTTGTAAAATGAGAATTTTACTTTTTATTTTCGTATTAGAGTTATAACATGAGATGGAGGAATTTATTTATACAGAATAAACTTCGCAAGGGAATAGAAAGTTTGATCATTAATGAGAAGTGAACATGTGGTAACAAGGAATGCCATAACGATCCAAATTATTTATGTAGATTCTAGGATCGTGTCTAATAGTTCAAAGTTACCATTTTACCCATTTTAGAATAAGTGAAAATAGTGAAAAGAAATTGGATAATCATGGTGAAATGTTATATGAAATTCGGTGGTCATTGCGACACGTTACATGAAATTGGGTGGCCGTGGTAAAATAAAATCAAATGGATGACTATGGTGACACTAAATATAAAGTTGGCTGACCATGGTGAAACAAAATCAAATTGTGTAGCCATTGTCACACTAAATATAAAGTTGGATGACAATTGGTGAATTTAACCCTTAACTTAAGTGCTGAGATGAGTCCATCTTCATGTTTGAAGATTCAATAATAGAGAAGATGACACCCTTCATTTTTGTCCATTATTCTTAATGTTCGAAGATTTATCGACAATTGTTATTTAATAAACATTCATGGTGAAGTTACTTAACGAGATGCATCGTCAAAGAAATCTCATGCATTAGATTTTTCACTTGACTTATATGAATCAAGTGTTTACAAGTTCTCCAAACACAAGTCTTGCAATGAACATAATTGGATAAAGCCTGAGGCAAGCACGCGGCTGACCTAATATGACTCTCAAGCATGTGAAGTAGAGTATATCACGCTAGGGTACAAGAGTCTCATGAAATCAGAGGACATGGCGACTAAGAAGTCACTCGTGTTGTTTTGATTTAATAGTTATTTTTCAATTGGCACCTAAAAGGTGAAGCATGAGACATTCGAGGTACTTACCCTTCTCATTCAAGAATAAGACATCTTGTTCAAGAAAAGACAAACGAACAAATAGTAACAGAAAAATGTATATAGGTAACAGAACAAGAACAAGAGAATTCACAAGGTTTTGTACTTCAAAACAGAGCCATTGTAGCCTGTTTTACACTAGTAAGTAATCCACCCTCAGATAGTCTAGTTCAATCATGTGGGACTCAGGGCTTCGCCGAATGCCACCCTAGTTTGGTTCGGATCAAGAGATCAGAGGAACTGTATGTGAACATAGGCTTCATCAAGGTGAAAATACAAAAGCTCGAGTTTTTGAGTTATGCTACCCCGTAAATTAAAGGGACAAATGAATATAAAAACAAAACGGTTGTTCTAACTTAGAAAAATAGACTCAACAAGCTCATGAAGAGGTGCAAGCTCTCCCTTGTCGATTAAGCGGAATTCCTGCATTAAGAACAATCAACGAGACAATGCTGTTAAATATTTGACATAAATAATTGAATACGATAAAAGAGGAGTTGAACAACCTAAAATTCAAAGATTTAGCGACCAACACACATTAAATTGACAAACTTGTAGTGGGAAAGGAAGAAATGGTAGAATTTCCAAGGGAAACACTTTATTTGTATTTGTTGAATACGATATACAAAGCCCCCAAATCTACATTTACAATTAGGACGCCAAAAAGGTACTTAAATCAAGCAATAAATTTGATTCCTACAAGTATTAAAAGATAAATATTAGTTGGAGAAAATATTATTTTCACAAGTTTCCGTGCCATACACATAACATAGAGAGGAAGTTATATAAACCGATAGAAGAAAAAGCCAGTGGTTTCAACCCTTATCGACAACAACATCCCAAGCACTGCAGTCCTCGGAACCCTTAAATCATGAATATAAGAAAAGAGAATTTTTTAACATTTTAGTTATTGATAGTCACAGTTTACGCAGTATACATTTTCCATTCAGGTAGACTTCGTCATACTCTGTTTCCACCGATATTAGCTGATATATATTAATTGGAGAAAACAGCAATTTCACAATTTCCAACTTGTTCTCTTCTACATAACATGACTGAAGTTTCACAATAGTTAAAAGAGAGCCAGTGGTCTCAAACCCTCCCCCCAACAAAATTCCAAGAACTCCAGTCTTTGGAACTCGTAGGAAGCAGAAACGGCTGTAAAGGTGTAGAGTGACCTGTAGTGATCAAATATGTAAGAGGACATAGGGAGATGCTCGTGGAAATACAGATATGCATAAAATTTAAGAATTCTTTAAATTCAACAAACTGACGTAGGCAGAGTAGAACAACATAGGCGTTGTGGTTTGGTAAGTGTAGGAGCACAGGTTGCTTCTAATTGAGAAAATTCAACAAAGCACATTGAATTACAAATAGTGATGCATCAAAGACACAATATCCATATAAGCCTTCTGAATTTGATAACTTGCGCAAGTAAAGAGAACAAAATGCTTAAAGAAAGTGTTCAGATGAGTTTCTTCCTTTAGACTCACGATCTTCTGAAAATGTGAATGGTAGATATGTGCATACACGCGAAACAACCGCTTGGATATGGTTTTCACAACATCTTGAAAGTAGGGTGAAAATGGTACACCTGTAGAAAATCAATTATTAGTACAAATGGCATCTTTATCAAGAACAAAATGTCAAAAAGAATAAAATAGTTCTACATACCCAGCTTTTGAGGAAAAATGGACTCATCATCAAGCTGAGGTTCTATCCAATCCATGAAATATTCCACATATTTTGGAGCAGAGACTTTAATTGGCTTCTTTATGGTAATTCCATCAGCCCATCTGTATTCATACCTATTGAAACCAAAGTTTGTAAAGAGCTTGTTGTGGATGCAGATATGCCATTATTTTAGAAAATAGTCGAAATTGAAATTGTGACATTGGATTATAGTTTTAACTGAGTTGGCGTAAGCTCTGTGATTTCTAGGCTACAGCACATAACAAGAACCATTATTTTAAACCTTCATCTTTCAAGTGCATTTAAAACCATTATTACATGGATGGGCTGAGCACGTCCAACATATGTATTATCCATGCCAACTTTTGAAATATATTTGAGCATATGACATAAATTGACTGTGATTCAGTAAGGCAGTGACTTTGTAACACCCCAAATTCCAGGAACTCGAAGCGTTAAAAATCTTCTTAATTTGAACTCTTTAATGTCATCCAAAATAAATTTCAAATAAGAAAATTTTGAAGTTTGAAATATATTATAAAAGTATGATGGGAGATAATTGTCTATATAGACTTAGACAAATACAGTAAAATTTGATTTTGGAAAACATTCGGAAGATAAAAATCAGCAATACCAATAGTGCAGTAGTGGAANAAAATATTCGGAAGAAAATCAGCAATACCCATAGCGCTACAGCGGAAAGATAAAAGTTGTTTGACCTAGCAAACGTCGACTAAAAATCACAAAATTTTAACAAAGACTATGACATTCATATACGTACATCATATAAAAAATTGAGCTCGCGTCGATAACGTTTGAAGCACGAAATCATTTTTCAACTATGCTAGACAGAAATTTTCGAACTGACTCGTAGCAGTCTACTAAAACGGACATAATTCCTTCTCCGACTAATATTGTAAGGTAATTCCAAAGGCCACTATTAGAAGATTCGTAGATATTTCAAATCCAACTGATTTCACTCAAAAATATGCATTGTAGCCCAAGTTATACCATTTTTAAATAGGTGGACAAAATTTGTGATTCAATACAGCAATAAATAAACTTCATATGTAGTCATTCAATCGTTTCTAAATTATAGTTGACATGCAATGAAAATAATTTAAGCAAAATAAAAAGTTAAACATATTAAAAGTGTCATCTAAGTGTTCATAAGAGATTTAAACAAATGAAAATTTTACTAGAAAGTTAAATGCTTTCTAAGTCACCAAGCACTTTCCACCGCTCTATGCCACTGTCATACCTTCAATTAACCTATAAATTTTGTAGGGATGAGTATCACGAATAATACTCAATAGGAAAACACTTAAGTAAATGGTAAAAATATATATTTTCAGAAATGCGACTTTAATTGTTTGTGTCACTGTCAGCTCTGCAAAGCGAACCAGTGATCAGCCAATCCGCTTATCCTTCGGGTTTTGATAACCCCATTCAAGTGTCATACATCATCTCTTTATCTTTTGTTTGAACCACCAAATGGAGCTTCCATCATAAGTAACACAATAACACTTTTAATGCAAAACGAAAACAAATAAATTTTTACTTCACTTACAAAAGTGTAGAAAACACCCCTACCTTAAATGATTGGACTTCGATTATCCTTTTGTGTTGAATTTGTAACAAAGTGCAACAGAAAATGGATCCAGTAGTAACTAAAAATGGGATTCAAAAGTGGAAGTGGGATAAGAAATCTTAAGTGGACATAATGTTTTCAATGTATAACAAATGGGGAACGTGATGGCAGTAATTGAAATGGTAGTGGAAGGGTTTTGTTTTCAAAAGAATTAATAGCCATGATTTCAATAGTTAACAGAAATGGGAAGTTATAATTTGTTAGGGCTTGTGTGGGAGGGATTAAAATCAGATTAAAATTGAAAATATAGCCGTTATTGTTGACTTTTATTAGACGAGTGGGGCCCAATAACGGCCATATTTTCAATTTTAATTGGCTTTTAATCCCTCCCGAACGGGGCCTAAATTGGAGAATGAGGGAGTTGAAAAGTCAGGTTGAGGGATAATGAAATAAATAAATAAATGGAGATGAATTAGTGGAGGAAAACCGTGAATGAGAAAAATTGTAATGAAATGAAGTAGGAATTGTTTGGCACAATATAATCGATTTATCTGATTTTTAAGATTTAAGCACTAAGCATGTATGCAACTATTAAAATTACGAGTGTTGTCAACATATTTAAATAATAAAAGAAATTTCGTTTACTAGCAATTTGCTACCTTACAACAATTCTATGAACAAGTGCGCGAAACTTTGCTATCGTGATCAACGTGATCAAAACTTTAATTTGAATTCTTAGGAAGGGTCATAGCGACTTAATATAACTAAGTATTTTCGGTTTCTACAAGAAAATTTCTTTTAAAACGAAATACAAGATTTGTTTTCTCGATCGCTACAGACTTATTGTTGGATTATGGATTAAGCACTTCCATAATATCTTTAAAAACATATTAAAAAAAAACTTATAGGCTCAAAAAGTTTACTCAAATAGAAGTTTGTATATTCATACATATATAGAAGTTTGGACAACGACAATTACTTATTACAGAATGCAATTTATTTTTAATTCAAATAGTGATGCAATCCATTCATCTTTTGATAACACAGATTAACTATATTGTCTTCTGGTTTTTGCAAACAATCACATCATGGAAGATAAGCATTATTGTTAGAACATTGGTATATGGTATTCATCGTCACTTCTTATCTTAAACGAGTGATGTGATATTTGGATGATTTAAATTGACTTGTCATTTTAATTGAATCTTAAGTGTGGGTTTTAAGAAGACAAATTAAAGTAATGCCATGTAATCGATTTTGGTAAGCACAATTTATGAATAATAATATTCTTTAAATTAAAGTTTGAACCGAATTAAATTTGAAGTAAACTATTTATTTATTAGACATCAATGAATAAAAGAGTTAAATGTTTTATTGATCATTGTACTTTACACCTCGTTACGACTTACTCACCAAACTTCACTAAGCTTCCCAATGGCTACTGAACATAACTCTGTTGCACTGAAATGGTCACCGAATGGATTCTGCCTATTCTTCCGTCTACGTGGACAACGAAAATGTGAAATTGCAATTAAAATTGTCCACATTTTTTTGAGTCGCACATTTGAATGCCAAATCACCCAAACAAACCCTCGCCCACAATAAATTAAAAACGTGTGTATGCTAAACTCATATCAAAACCACCTCCACGCAAAAAAAAAAAAAAAGAAATCGTAGCCGCCCCCCGTGGCACAACCGAGTTGGCAAAGGACGGGCTTTGTTGGACTTGCAACCTCAGGGTAGAGAGTTCAAATCCTGGATGGAGCAGCTAAGTGATGTAATACTCAATTATGGGTGGAGCAGCTTGGTGATGTAATATCCATGAAGGAATGCTCCCTTGGGGTCAAGAGTATAAATGGTGCACGGATCCTGGTCAATTTGGACATACACCGCAATTAACTTCCACCCAACGCTGAGAGGTTGGGAATGGATAATCCAGCACATAATCATCTGGTGTAAATTGGGAAAACCGGCGTATCAAAAAAAAAGGAAAGAAATCGTAGCCGTAACCTCAAATCCACTTCATTTTTCACATAGTGATTTCAGCTGGGAATTGGAAAACCCAAAATCACGCTCAGGAGAAACCTAACCCCCAAAATCATTTTTCACATCGTGATTTCAGCTGGGAATTGGAAATTGATACTTGATAAACTTAAAGATTGCCCAGAAATCATTAGTTGCTTTGGGGGAAAATTAACTGATGAAAACGGTGAGAAATGGTATAATGTATTGTTGGACTATGCTTCCGGTGGCGCTTTGGAGGATAAAGTGAAGAATTGACGGGATAGTCGGCGGCCAGAGAATTGGCTTAATTATGTTCACAAGTTTTGTTATGTTCATTGTGATATTAAGCTTCAGAACATTCTTATGGACCCAAAGGGTGGCGTAAAGATTGCGGATTTTGGCTTGGCGAAGCAACTTGGAAGAGAGAATGTGAGTAATTTTTGGTTTGAATTGAGGGGTACACCATACGGGTAAATCGAAGCCGAGAGATGTGTTTGAAGATTTGTTGTGTATTATCCAGTTGCTAACTTCTTTTCTTGTCTGGTTAAAATTGGGGCATTTCCTACTTTGCTACTTTCTTTCTTTCAACTGATCATTCATCTCTCGCTAAATCGAACGGCTAGGATTTATTCAACATAGATGGCGTGTATATCGTTGACCTGCAACACGCCAGAGTCCGTTTCTGGTGATCAGAGGTTTCCGGCAGTGGCGATGGAGGAGTATCGCTGTAGCTCTTGTCGTCATCATCCTCATCTCCAATCTTCGATTGGGAGGAACAGTGATGAGTCAGACGTCGAGGGGAAGAGGTACAGAGTGAATATAAAGGAGAGCATATAAAGTATCTAATTTTCATTGATTTGCATCAATTACAATAAGTAATTTCTAACTTATGATAGTTGGCTTAGGAATTCCTTTTGTATTTATGTTTATATGTTGTTTTTGCATCAATTACAATAAGTAATTTCTAACTTATGATAGTTAGCTTAGGAATTCTTTTTGTATTTATGTTTATGTGTTGTTTTTGCATCAATTACAATAAGTAATTTCTAACTTATGATAGTTAGCTTAGGAATTCCTTTTTTTATTTATTTTATATGTTGTTTGTCCAATAATTTCTATTGGCTTATTTCAGGAACGGCATATCTACATTAAAGATATTGGTAAGCCTGATGATGCATACACCAGGAAGTGACTACGATAACTTTTGGGACAAGAGTCGTAATAGTACTTTAAGAAGTAACAATGGCAGGATATCAAAATGACCTGCCAACTCTAGAAGTGCATTAACTCAGGCAGAAACTATGAGCCATTCTGAGAGCAATAACAACGTAATTTATATCTCAAAGTCGTCATCACCTGGTGGCTGCCACGTCATCACCACACCGCTCAGTGAGAAGTTTGCCCCTGGCGGTCTCTCTTTCTCTGATCTGCAAGGTACAGCTGCTGGAGGTCCCAGCATCAAAGATTATGGGTCTATAACAAAGACAAATAAAGTAAACTATACAGATGCCCTTCACTTTAGAGTCACCCTAAGAATCTGAAGCCTGATAGATGTTCATTGAGATGGAGATATTTGTAATTTCTGCCTTGCTTTGTGCTTATAGGCTTCTACCGTTTGTTGTAATTGTCATGTCGTTTATTTAGTATAATTGCTGCTGTATATTATCATCATTTTCTGCTCTCCTGGTCAGCTGTTGTGTAGCTATATGAAATTCCTGCTAATTCTTAAGATTCGTTTTCCTTCTCTTCCTAAGTTTCTTGGCCTCGTAAGTTTCTAACTAAGTCGACTATCCTTATCTAGGAAATATAGGAATTTCTTTTAATGAGAAGAATATAATTTCCTAAGGACACCTCCATACTTTGCTCGTTTGTGGGACCTTTTTTTAGGTTTTTTTCCTGGGCTTAAAAAGTAACTCATAGTGAGCAAACTTGGTGGCAACTGAAGAGTTCTAGCACTAGTTGCCCAGTGTCAGCTGGTGCACTCGTATATCTAGTATTCTTGCGTTTTCATAAAATTAGGTGTCTTGAGTAATTATGATCTTAAACTTTTTATTTTGTGTGGGAGTGTCTGCATGTTGTGCAAAATATTCTCTGGATTTCTGCAGCTACTAAGATCTTAGTTGCCATTGCAAAAGCCACGAAAGGACATATTGTTATAAAGTGCTGCACTAACAAAACCCTTGGATTTCCGTTCACGGCTTCTTTAAGGTACGGAATCTGACCTAACCAGCAGCAAAATCCTAGTTTGATTATATCTATTTGATTTTGTTAATGATCTTAGTCTGTTGCTAACATATTAGAATGCACTTTTGTCTTGGTAGCCTACATTCAGTTTCATTCAATAAATGCTTTGTTATGATTAGCACTGCAATATTATACATAGTAGAGAGTAAATATCCAAACACCTTTACAAGCAAATGTTGTTGAAAAGGAAGTTTGAGTTTGCATCAAATTTCTATATTTGTTCCGTATGGACATATTTAGCACTTGCTTTCCGTGATGAACTTATGTTGCGGAATAACTATAAATTCTTGATACTTGTTGGAGTGGTCATGAACTTTTGAAATCATTTATATAGCTTCATTCTGATACAATGGTAAATGCCAAATCAAAAGGATTACATACACTTATAGATCCGTATTATTGAATTCATATATTATGTAAACTCACGTGGACACTAAATAGACTTCAACCTTGTATAGGAGGAATTTTTCTAAGAGCATTTGCTCCATATACAGATAGTAGGGAAAATAATGATAAATACCTGGTTTTGAGCCTAGCAACGACAATCTAACATGAATAATTAGCAGAAATACCTGCATCTTTAGACTTATTCTCAGCGACTCCTAACAGAAATAATTTATCGCAAACATTTTCTTAGATAAGTGGCCAAGTTATGACGAATGAAAATATTTTGGTAAGATAAGCTGCCATCAGATTGGTAATGAACGGTATCAATGAATAACAAACCAATTCCTTCAATTAGGGTACTGTTCTTGAGCAAATTATTGATGTGAGTAACGAATTTGAGCCAAGTTAGGGTTTTGTCCTTGAGCAAAGTTATTGAACCAAAAAGCCAAGTTGAGTTATACAAACACATGGAATTTTATTTAGGCCAACAGATGTGATTGTAGCTCTTTATCCTCGTTTACTAGATTGTAAAGAAACAGCTTTCATGCTGGTGAACATTTTTGACCTTGGAAATGACTCTTTATTACATTAGAAAGTTTATAGCAAAATATTGTTTTTGCCGACTGTTATTCAATATTCAGTAAATAGGTAATCTAGACAAGAATGGATGTATAATACTTCAATGTCTGTGGTAGAGGCTTAAAGGTTTACGCATCTGCAGGAGTGACACAGCAAAGAAAAGAGAAATATTTATTTTGGATTTCGTCTTTGGTTCTAATGTATGAATTTTTTAAAAATATTAACAATCTAAGTTATTCTCACTAAATTTGAGGTGAATTATATGAATCACTTTTCATCATTGCATTCACTTCATCATGAGATTATTTGATGCAAATTGTGAATTATTTAAAAATAAAATATCGTTGGTAGAAAAAATGAGTTTAAAATATATTCATAAATCTCGTGAAAAGAAAAAATGAGTTTTTGACTGCTTTCACAATTTGTTCCCTGTTAGGAGCTTATGTGTAAAATGTGAACATAGCAGGTGTAGGTCACAAGGTAGATACGGAATAAATCTACATGTGCAACTGGCTATGGAAATTGGTGTAAAAGTGAATCAAGAAATGGATTACATTACAACTTATTGACATACTATATTTACCCAGGCCATTTCATCTTTAGATATTGGCTATTTAGGTAACTAGATAATTCTTGCTTTCTTAATGTACATGCGTTTCTTTCCCTAGATTGAAATGGCAAAAATATAAAGGTGTCCAGTCTTCCTATAATCTAAGCAAAATATGTTTTACCAGCTACGGATGATTTATTTTAAAATGGTTTGAAACCATCGTAATTATTGCTTGTGGTTTATAGCATCGATATGAACACTTCGCGATTCATCTCTTGTGTATTCATTGAACAGGCTTGCTTTGTGGTATTGGGCAGAGAAAATTAGGCTTTGTTTGTGGTATTAGGCTGCGAAAAATTGGTGACACGTGGCATTAGGCTTAGTTTTATAAAAGTTGCTAGAGTATCCTCCAATTCATTACTTGTAGCTACCTTTCAGATACCCGAGTAGGTTGGCTTCCTTATGCTAGTTCTGCTTTTGCTTGTTTACTGATTTGTGTTACTCTTAATGTTAATAAATTTGCAATTTATTAGCCCGAAATCTTTAGATCTGTCATGATTGTAAAGATTGTTAGAGAAACATCGCGTTGGGCTTTGTTTTTTGAGTTTTTTTCCTTCTGTAATTTTTCTTGATTTAATCCCTGGGTAAATTCTGTTTTCAGGATTTTCACTGGTCTCAAGTTTCCATCTTCTTATGGATGCTAAACCAGTTATAGTCAGTCTGGAGGCGCTGCGTGCTTACCATTCAATTGACAGGGCTCTTTATGCTATCCTCGTGACAGAACTTTGGCGTGATCCCGTGGAATCGTTGCAGATTATTGCCTTGTGGCTTTGGTTAGAGCATGTGGGTTTTGGCAAGGTCATAAGGAAGATCTTGGCATCTGCTTCGTTGTTCATCAATCAAACTGCTGAAGAGGCTATTATGTGCATCAAGTGCATAAAGGATTCCCACTTCATACATTCAGCTGAAGCCACCGATATTCCTATGACTCGTAGCATCATCGAGAAAGAGATATCACTTCGGTTTTTTAATGAGAATCGTGTGACTGCCTACCGTGAAATAGACAGAATCATTAATCAAGATTGCCTCCACACTATGCGAGACATCACTGAAAAAGCCCTTCATGGTAATTCTGGTGAAAGTTCATCAAGAAACTGGTTATTAAATCCATTAAATGCTGCTCAGAGTTCTACATCAAATTCTACTCTGATGCCATTTAATGGTGGACAAAGTTCACGATTAAACCAGATGATGATTCTATTGAATGCTAATGCTGCAGAAAGTTCATCTAGAAATCAGATAATGATACCATTAAATGTTGGTCGAAGATCTTTATCTTAGTTGCCATTGCAGAAGCCACGAAAGGACATATTGTTATGAAGTGCTGCAGTAACAAAACCCTTGGATTTCTGTTCACAGCTTCTTCAAGGTATGGAATCTGACCTAATTTTATTTCTACCAGCAGCAAAATCTTAGTTTGATTATATCGATTTGATTTTGTTACTGGTCTTGGTCTGTTGCTAACATATTAGAATGCACTTTTGTCTTGGTAGCCTATATTCAGTTTCATATAATAAATGCTTTGTTATGATTAGCACTGCAACGTTATACATAGTAGAGAGTAAATATCCAAACACCTTTACAAGCAAATGTTATATAGAAGGAAGTTTGGGTTGGCTTCAAATTTCTATATTTGTTCCATATGGACATATTTAGCACTTGCTTTCCGTGATGAACTTATGGTGCAGAATAACTATAAATTCTTGATACTTGTTGGAGTGGTCGTGAACTTTTGAAATCAGTTATAAAGCTTCATACTGATACAATGGTAAATGCCAAATCAAAAGTATTACACACACTTATAGATCAGTATTATTGAAGTCATATATTATGTAAACTCACGTGGACACTAAATAGACTTCAACCTTGTATAGGAGGAATTTTTCTAAGAGCATTTGCTCCATATACAGATAGTAGGGAAAATAATGATAAATACCTGGTTTTGAGCCTAGCAACGACAATCTAACATGAATAATTAGCAGAAATACCTGCTTCTTCAGACTTATTCTCAGAGACTCCTAAACTCCAAACATAAATAATTTATCGCAAACATTTTCTTAAATAAGTGGCCAGGTTATGACAAATGAAAATATTTTGGTAAGATAAGCAGCCATCAGATTGGTAATGAACGGTATCAGTGAATAACAAACCAATTCCTTCAGTTAGGGTGCTGTTCTTGAGCAAATTATTGATCTAAGTAACGAAGTTGAGCCAAGTTAGGGTTTTGTCCTTGAGCAAAGTTATTGAACCAAAAAGCCAAGTTGAGTTATACAAACACGTGGAATTTTATTTAGGCCAACAGATGTGATTGTAGCTCTTTATCCTCGTTTACTAGATTGTAAAGAAAAAGCTTTCATGCTGGTGAACATTTTTTACCTTGGAAATGACTCTTTATTACATTCCTCGTTTACTAGATTGTAAAGAAAATGCTTTCTTGCTGGCGAACATTTTTTACCTAGGAATTGACTCTTTATTACATTAGAAAGTTTATAGCAAAATATTGTTTTTGCCGACTGTTATTCAATATTCAGTAAATAGGTAATCTAGACAAGAATGGATGTATAATACTTCAATGTCTGTGGTAGAGGCTTAAAGGTTTACGCATCTGCAGGAGTGACACAGCAAAGAAAAGAGAAATATTTATTTTGGATTTCGTCTTTGGTTCTAATGTATGAATTTTTTAAAAATATTAACAATCTAAGTTATTCTCACTAAATTTGAGGTGAATTATATGAATCACTTTTCATCATTGCATTCACTTCATCATGAGATTATTTGATGCAAATTGTGAATTATTTAAAAATAAAATATCGTTGGTAGAAAAAATGAGTTTAAAATATATTCATAAATCTCGTGAAAAGAAAAAATGAGTTTTTGACTGCTTTCACAATTTGTTCCCTGTTAGGAGCTTATGTGTAAAATGTGAACATAGCAGGTGTCGGTCACAAGGTAGATACGGAATAAATCTACATGTGCAACTGGCTATGGAAATTGGTGTAAAAGTGAATCAAGAAATGGATTACATTACAACTTATTGACATACTATATTTACCCAGGCCATTTCATCTTTAGATATTGGCTATTTAGGTAACTAGATAATTTCTTGCTTTCTTAATGTACATGCGTTTCTTTCCCTAGATTGAAATGGAAAAAATATAAAGGTGTCCAGTCTTCCTATAATCTAAGCAAAATATGTTTTACCAGCTACGGATGATTTATTTTAAAATGGTTTGAAACCATCGTAATTATTGCTTGTGGTTTATAGCATCGATATGAACACTTCGCGATTCATCTCTTGTGTATTCATTGAACAGGCTTGCTTTGTGGTATTGGGCAGAGAAAATTAGGCTTTGTTTGTGGTATTAGGCTGCGAAAAATTGGTGACACGTGGCATTAGGCTTAGTTTTATAAAAGTTGCTAGAGTATCCTCCAATTCATTACTTGTAGCTACCTTTCAGATACCCGAGTAGGTTGGCTTCCTTATGCTAGTTCTGCTTTTGCTTGTTTACTGATTTGTGTTACTCTTAATGTTAATAAATTTGCAATTTATTAGCCCGAAATCTTTAGATCTGTCATGATTGTAAAGATTGTTAGAGAAACATCGCGTTGGGCTTTGTTTTTTGAGTTTTTTTCCTTCTGTAATTTTTCTTGATTTAATCCCTGGGTAAATTCTGTTTTCAGGATTTTCACTGGTCTCAAGTTTCCATCTTCTTATGGATGCTAAACCAGTTATAGTCAGTCTGGAGGCGCTGCGTGCTTACCATTCAATTGACAGGGCTCTTTATGCTATCCTCGTGACAGAACTTTGGCGTGATCCCGTGGAATCGTTGCAGATTATTGCCTTGTGGCTTTGGTTAGAGCATGTGGGTTTTGGCAAGGTCATAAGGAAGATCTTGGCATCTGCTTCGTTGTTCATCAATCAAACTGCTGAAGAGGCTATTATGTGCATCAAGTGCATAAAGGATTCCCACATCATACAATCCGCTGCAGCCACCGATATTCCTATGACTCGTAGCATCATCGAGAAAGAGATATCACTTCGGTTTTTTAATGAGAATCGTGTGACTGCCTACCGTGAAATAGACAGAATCATTAATCAAGATTGCCTCCACACTATGCGAGACATCACTGAAAAAGCCCTTCATGGTAATTCTGGTGAAAGTTCATCAAGAAACTGGTTATTAAATCCATTAAATGCTGCTCAGAGTTCTACATCAAATTCTACTCTGATGCCATTTAATGGTGGACAAAGTTCACGATTAAACCAGATGATGATTTCATCCAATGCTAAAAGTGCAGAAGGTTCATATAGAAACCAGATGATTCCCTTTAATGCTTCTCGACACTCTTTATCAAATCCCATTGTGATGCCATTCAATGGTGGGCCAAGTTCAGGATATAACCAGATGATGATTCCATTGAATGCTAATGCTGCAGAAAGTTCATCTAGAAATCATATAATGATACCATTAAATGATGGTCGAAGATCTTTATCAAATCCTACTGTGTTGCCATTCAATGGTAAACGAAGACCGGGGTCGAACAAAATGATGATGTCACGTCATTTCCACGAGTCCATAATCCCTAACTTCTCTTACATGAGAGTTGGAAGGAATGTAAATGAGGTACTACCAGAAGACAGGACTATGTTTGTAACATTTTCTAGGGGTTATCCTGTGGCTGAAATGGAAGTTAGGCACTTCTTCACAACGGTCTATGGGAATTGCATAGAGTCCTTCAGAATGCAGGATGTTAGACCTTACGAGCAACCGCTTTATGCTCGAGTCGTGTTCCTTAAAGCCTCGTTTATTCAGGAAATTCTCAATGGTTCGGAGAAGGCCAAATTTACCATCAATGGAAAGCATGCTTGGATGCGCAAGTTTATGCCAAGAAACGAGGGTTCCTCTTTAATGGCGTTGGTGTGATAGAATGTTGGCTGTCGTATATCTGTATTTTGATGTTTCCGTTTGTCGTGTTAACGTAATCGTTGTCTTATCGTAAATGTAATTTCTTTCTTTTACGTGTTGTATTTTCAAATTGACTAGTGAATGTATTATATTAATTGGTGCTACGTGTGTTAACTTCAGTTATTTTGAGTAAACTTGATGGCTTTTAAGAGTGATGTTTGGTAAATAATGAACGGAAAATAAGTAATGAGTAACTTGATAACATAGGTTCTTTTATCCTGCAGGTTTTTAAAAACTTGCATCAACTCGGAAGACTATCTTCAGACTATAATACCAGGAACTGCTCTCACACAATCCCTCTGCCTGAAAAAAGTTAATTATTTTCTGCTTTCTTGGTTGTGGGGCCCACATGGGTTGGGAAGTTACAGAGACTAGCCGGTGGTGCGTTACGCATGATGAAAGCTGACAAATTTTTTTACATTTTTTCTCATATTCTTATCTATTCGGTATATAATGACAAATTTTTTACAGTTGTTTACTTTATTCTAGCATAGGAAAGGATGTTTGTTTGGGAGAAATTATAATAGAATTAAATAAAAATAAGTAGTCGGTCCCACAAAATATGTAGACAATGAGTAAGAGTAGTTGTGAAAATTTAATTATAATAAATGTTTCACTTCAAATGGTAATGATATTTATTAACATTGAACCGCATCATTGGCGGCCCTCACCTGCCATATTCTGGGCATTGGTGAATGAGGTAAATCGCAGGTTATGCCTCCAAGGGTACAGGGTAGAAGACTGCTTGTACACTTGCACTTATCCAAGGGCCAAATCCATATTTCAAGATTCGAACCCTTGACGCAGCTGTTTTAAGCAAAGTTAGAGTTTTTCCACCTCCCCCTTTTATCACTTGGAGATGTGCCCTGGAGGCGACTATTTTGTTATCTAATCACCCAAGTTGGTTAGAGTGTCTTTGAGCCCCATTTTATGAAAAAATAAGTTTTGTAGTGGTGATTTTTTCTAAGAATGTGTGATTAACAAATAAGAAAAAAATATATTGAAAGAATGTGTGATTGAAAGTGTATTTGAAGAAAAATAAATTTGTAAAATATATG